TCTTTCCCTCCTCCACCCCACTCACCCCCACCCCCCAGTGCTTGTACCCTAAGGCAAAAACCTCTTTTTTAAAAAAACGCAAGAGACTGGTTTTGCTATGGTATCTCTGGATTGTCCCATCTGCCCTGCCTTTCATGACAACATCCCCATCCCTTACAGCTTTCTGTACCATGCTGCAAGTCTTACCTCTGGGCCCACAGCCCTCCCACGTGTTAAGTTGCTCTCAGCTTTCTCTTCCCTCCCTTCTCATGGGGCAGTGAGTCTCTGGCATCCAAGGTATGTAAGTGTAAAGGCTGGATGACTACATGACTGCCCCTAGGGTTGAGCTGGGTGATCTAACTCTGAACATATAAAGCTATCTTTTATCTTTTCGTCTCTGTCTTCCTGTGCTCTCACTCTCACTTTCTCTTTTCTCTGCTCATTGTTTTTCCTTTTACTTATTTTTTCTTCCCGCCCTGTCTCCATTTATCTCTCCTCCTTGCCTGGCCTGTGTTTTTTTCTCCCTACATCTTATTTCCTCTTCCTCCTCCCCTTTTGGCCTTCCCTCTTCCCATCTTCCTCTCCTCTCCTGTTTGCCAGACCTCTGTCTTCCCTGCCCTTCCTCTCATATCATCTGTGCATCTTTTTCTCCGCCTTTCTGTTTCCTTTGAAATGTAACTTTTTCTTTGAGTTTCCTGGTAAAATTTCTCTGAAAATTTCCAAGCTGGCCATGATGAAATTAGAGGTTACTTTCTAGTTTGTTTGACTTTTTAGGGATTTTTGCTTCCTGGATGTTGATTTTAATTTCAAGGCCACTGCATCAGGGCTGCTAAAAAGTCTGCTTTTCTTAATCTCTGGTTTTTGAGTTGACCTATTGCTCCTACTTAGTTTTCTCAGAGAAAAATTATAGTTGAGGGAGGAGATAGAAAAAGGATTAAATGAGCACTGCACATGTGCAAATTCTCTCTCCTCAGAAGTAGAGATGCCTTGTTTAGCCTTGCTTCAACACTTAGTGTTTATGGAGTTCCTACCATGCTCTGGGCAGGAAAGCATCCTTTCTGGTCATGGCATGACATGCGACTTGTCCAGTCAGCCAGTCCTTGCCTCATGACTCTTGGGATCCAACTGGCTTGCTGGGAACGTGAGAGGCAAGTTAATGGCCCAGAGGGAAGGGCTGGCAGAGGGTAGGTCAGGTGTAACCATATAGAGCACTGTAAGATGATGATAAGAACTGAGATTCTCCTACAGTCATCAAGACTGAGATGATCATCTGAAGGTCACTTTAATACCCACCTGGCTCAGCAAGGCTGAGGGAGCAGACTCTGCTCTGAGGCAGAGGACCAATGGTTTCCAAAGTCATGGCCCTCTCTCATGTACCTCTCTGCTCCTCTTCCCTCTTCTCCCAACTCCCCCAATACAACACACTGGATGATGTGTAGCCCATGACTTCTCCAGGATCCCCCAACTCCTATAATACATGCACAGGTCTCCTTCCACACTGTGCTTGCTTCGCTCTCCCATTATATTGTGACCAGGGAGGTTTAGGGAGTCGCCTGAAAGAAGAGTTTGAGACTGTGCACCAAAAAGGAGATTCTGCAGTCCTTGTTGAGAACAGACATGGTTCCTGCAGAAGAGGCCAGCACGTAGTTTGTTGTTGATTTCTGATGTCCAACTTGATAGGTTCTCCTACTCTTTCTTGGCACCTCTGACATGCTTTTGTGTTAGAAGTAAATTGTTTCTTGGTGAAATGTGCTTTCCTCGGCCCAGACCCAAGGTTTCCACCCCAAACAGCTAATCCTCATTTACCAAATGTGAAGACACCATTAGTATGTGCCAAGAATCATACAAGGTACCTAAAGGAACAAGAAGGTTTGGTTCCCAGCCCAGCCATAGTAGTGCATGCTGGTTGACACTGCTACTCAACAGGCTGAGGCACATGGGAAACCCAGGTTTGATCATTGGCTCACCCTAAAAACCCAGGCACAGTACATGCCTGTAGTCCCAGCTACTTGGGAAGCTGAGGCAAGAAGATTCAACATAGTAAGACTTTGTCTTAAAGTTGCATAAGGAGAAGAAAGCGTGGTTCTGACTCACAGAGATTTTAAAGATTTTTCTTCCCCAGGTATCTTGGGGAGACCAAGAAGGAAAGAAGCAATTATAAAATTTATGGTAAGTCCTGTGGTGGAAGGATTCTAGAAGGCAATGGAATACTTTCATTTAATAAATATATTTTGTTAATATGCCATGCCTGCTGTAGGTCAGGTAAAATTCTAGATGCAAAGAATGTAGCAGTGAACATAATAAGGACAAAAACTCCTTCTGGGGTCAAGAAAGGCTTTGCAGTGGAAAATACATCCAAACTGAGCTTTTAAGATTAAGTAGAGGGGCCAGCAGGTGACATGGTGGTTGAGGCACTGGACTCATACGGCCAACTGTAGTTTGAGCCCTGAACCTAGAGGCTTGCTTTCTTACTTTCTCTCTCTCTGGTGAGCATGTGTGCCATATAGCAAATTAAAAGATAATAAAGATGAATAAAATTAAATAAATAATTCTTTTAAAAAATTGAGTAGAAACTAGTCAAATTGAGTTGGGTGAGTTGTTAGGGACAGGATATCACAGACAGAGAGGGGAGAATGGGAGGTTACCATGGTTGAAGGACCTCAGATACAGGAGATAAAAGAATGAAATGGTGAGCTATAGGGAATTCACATTTGAGTGTGAAGGAAATGGAGAGCAGTAGAAGGTTTTTAATCCAAGTAGGAAACTACCCTGGCTGCAGTGGGAAGCATAGATTGGAGAGACAAGACTGTAAGTAGGACCATACAGTAGGAGGCTATTAGGGCAATCTTGGTGGGAGATAATTCAGGCCTAGAGAGGGTGGTAATGGTGAAATCTTTAGAACATGGGACTGAGAAGACTTGGTAGTGGTTGGACTGGTAGTACAGAGACAGGAACTAGTGATGAGAACAGGTTAGGATGGCTGGAAGGCTGTGCACAAGCTGAGGAGGTCGTGGTGCTCTTAGAGCCTCCTGACTTGTTCCATCATCCAGAGGATGGAGAGGAGGAGCCCGGAGCTGCACCAGGGTAGCTCAGACTAATTCGATGCACACAGAGTGATTTAACCTGGTTCCTGTTTGAAATATATTTTTTAAAAACTCTCATCTCATAACAGAGGGTGACTTCAGGCAGACAGATTGTGATCTTTGTTGGCTGCTGGCTCCATGTCCCAATCAGAAAAAGAAATTACATGGTCTGATGGGAATGGCAATATGGTCTGGGAGAAAGTGTCCTCTAGACTGGGAGTCAGGAGACTTGGATTCTGATGACAACACCAGCATCATCCCAGACAGTGCCCTTCAGCAAGTCCTCTAACCTCTCTGAGGTGAGCTCCCTCACCTTTACAAAGGAACAGAGGACTTTCACACTTTCTCAACCCCTGCTATGAGAGTGAAATAGAAATATTTGCAAAAAAGAATGGTGTTATGCAACGAGAACAGATTTTAAGAGTCAGACGTGTCTAGATTTGAGGCCTGGCTCAGTCACTTGGATGTGCTATGTGGAGCAAGTTGCAGAACCTCACTGGGCCTCAGTTTCCTAATTGGTAACAAAAGGACAAAATAGTTCTTAACGTCACTGAGTTGCAATGAAGTTTAAAGGAAATAAAGTACATGAATGTGCACTGTAAACTTATTTTTAGGTGCCTATTGGTAAAAGCATTGGAAAGGTTTATACAAATGTGAATGAGGACTGACATTCATGTTAAAGAAGGTAGATACAGCTATTAGAGCAAGTCAGTGGTTGTGTTGCAGGGTTCATGGGGTAAAGGGCATTGGTAAGGTCATCACAATTGAGGGCCTTAACCACAGAACACCAGCTGGTTCACACAACAGGGAGACATACAGTTCCCAGATGGGGTTTCTTGTGTCTGTCATCCAGTGTGCCCTCCCTCCCAGTATCAGGACACATGGAAGCCAGATGAGGGACTGGGAGAGGTGGGAATTCTGAGGAATATTTCACTCAGGCCCATAATAGTATCCATCTCCCCACACACCAGGGCATATGTGTCTTTCAGTTCACTGTTTCTCCCTAGAAAAGCACCAGCTAAACATGGCCAGGGTCTTGCTCTCTGACTTCCTTTCTCCACTACATTATAGTGATAAAGCCATGGACACAATCACTGATGTATACCTAGCTCTGTGACCTTGGGCTGGTTATCATTTTTTTTTTTTTTGAGAGTTTTTTGCTATAGGGTGCGTGTGCTCGCCAGACAGACAGAGAGAGACAGAGAGAGAGAAAGCGAGAAATCCCCCCCCCCCCCCCCCCCGAGGGGATAGCCATGCTGCAATCCTTTCTCCTCCATTCTCCTCTCGGGATCTTGGGCACGCATGCACACATGCCTGGCGTGAGTTTTAAGCCACCGGGTCCGGGACGCGAACCGTGGTCGACTACGTGGGAGTCCAGTGACATAGCCATTACACTAACTGCTGGTCCCGGGGCTGGTTATCTTGCCTCTGAGCCTTTTCTTCCATATAAAATAATAATACCCCCCTTGCAGGGATATTGGGAGGGCAAAACAATGCATTGTATCTATAGTCCCTAGTATTGTCTGGCATCTGGTAGGTACTCAGCAAAAAGCTAGAAACCCCCCCCCCCCCCCCCCCCGAGGGGATAGCCATGCTGCAATCCTTTCTCCTCCATTCTCCTCTCGGGATCT